GGGGGGGGGGGAATATATTTTATACTATGCTTTTACATACTTTTACACCTATTTAGATCATTTAGGAGGAAGGATTTCAGGGTCAACCCAGGCTGATAAGAATAAAACGTTCTAGCCGAAAAATGAAGATACTCCATGAACATCCCGTTTAACGGGGTATCGGGTTTGGGTCTCCGTCGGCGAGCTCCCGTGTGACAACAAGGTTCCTAACCGCTACTCCACTGACACCGATAACCTGAACGAGACATTTCCAGTAGTGCACTTACTTCGTTATTTTGGTACGTGTTTTACGGAACTTACAAATACATATAAGATCTTATGAGCGCGCGGGACTCATTCTACATTCTCAGTTTGGTAGGATTTTTCAACTTTGTTCGGGTTTGTGGTCGAAGCTTACTCATCGATTTATGAACCACAAAGGGATATGTAACGTGCGCAACTTGCACTCAGGATCTTTGCAATTTTTCGCCCTTATCTGAGAAAGCTATGTATGAAATCTTACCTCCCATAAGATCAGGGGTGTGGCTGAAAGACTGCAGTAAGAAGGAGACAAGAAGTAGTATCAGTGAAAATCCTGCAGAAAGAGTCTGGAGCCCAGAGGAGGGGGCAAAGATAAGAGGAGGTGAGAGGGGGCAGAAAATGGAGACGAAAGCACACGACAGAACATTATTAGAGAGCAGGAAAGGAGGTGAAAAGAGACACTTTTAGAGAAGAAAAGTTTCCTTCGCTGTCAGGTTTTGAACTCAGGACCTATTGAATGAGAGGCGAAGACCGTAATATGTAGACCACGAGAGCCCCTTACTGCTCTAACTTTGTCTCGACTTAGCGTGAGGGGAAATCACTAGAAACACGAATTACTCTCCTTCCTATTTCCCTTCCGTGTTGATCTCCCCTGAGCTCGATGGACCAGACAGTGTAGTGGGCCAAAGGTTAATCCGAGGGGAGATAAACCCGTCCTACACCGGTAATCCTTAGGTCAGTCTCTTTCCACAACAGGCCCAGATGGTCCTTCCGCCCGGGAACTGACCAATCAATGACCAGAAGGTATTTCGAGGGCTTGTTGGCTGGATCTGTAGCATACAAACTGGGGCCGAAAATCTATGCTAGATAGAAGCCTGTTTTAAATTCGCTTGGAATTCGTTACCTTAGAATTACAAAGTTCTATCTGCTCAGTTCCTTGTTTGGAGAAATTTAACGTCAAAAATGTTGAGTTCCATAACATTTCTTTAAACATCTTGATAACGAATCTGAATGATTTTACAACTTAAAAGGAGCAGATTGAAGATGTTTTTGTTTTTTTCTGAACTCATCGTCTTAGTAACTCAAAGCGGCCAAAAATGTCAAATAGAACTTTGTAATTCTAAGGTAGCGAACTGTTAGTGTATAAATTTAAGATACAATGTCGTTAGGTTAGACACTGCGGACACCAGGAACATGTTCACTAGTTGCTAGGCTGCGAGAGTGGAAACGGAGCAATAGAATCTTCTTATTTCCATCCGTGGAGAGTCAGTCCATCTATCTATCTATCTATCTATCTATCTATCTATCTATCTATCTATCTATCTATCTATATGTACTCTCTGTCTGTCAGTCTGTCTGACAATATTCTTTTTATCGGCTTACTTAAAGTACCTTCCAAAATACAATTTAATTTTGACCATGCTTGAAAGAAAGGATAACAGTCCTTAACGGTTGGCACAAATTAATGATTTTATCATAGCCTAGTTTTCGCCAATGTTAGATTTTGTTAAACATTGACGTAAGCTTAACAGAGATTTGATGCCTTATATAGTTCATCGCTGCAACATTGCTTGTTGTAAGCTGTTGTCAAAAATTCTACGCACTATTGAACAGAATGCGAGCAGATTGTTTTGGGGCTTGTTTTTTGCGATTTAATTATTAATTTTTTTATTTACTTATTTTTGTATTATTATTTTTGTATTTTTGTATTTTTTTTTTTCGGGGGGGGGGGGGGGGGGATGGTACTGTTAGTTCTTCCTTTTATTCTTGCGTCTGGTTGTTTCTTTTAGTCATTTTACAATTTTGTCCTTCACAAAATGGCCCACTGTTGAGTAGACCAGCCTTTTTTTTACACAAAGGCTATAGAAATAATTGGTGTTATTAATGTAAAGGTTTACTGTTAGATTAACCTGCTAACCTGCTAATCTTCTAAGAGACAGACAGAGAGATAGATAGATAGATAGAGACAGAGATAGAGAGATAGAGAGAGAGAAAGAGAGAGAGTGAGAGAGAGAGAGAGAGAGAGAGAGAGGAAAGGAAGAAAGAGTAGGGTGGAGGAGAGATGAGAGGGAGATAGAAAGAGAGAGAGAGAGACAGGAAGGGAGAGAGACACAGAGAGAGGGAGAGAGAGAGAGAGAGGAAGAGAGAGAGAGAGAAAGAGAGTAAGAAGGTTAGAGCGCCCTTCCCGCCTTTCGATGTGAATTTCCCTTTCTGACTGTCTCTGCCTCTGTCCATGTCTTTGTTTTTCTGTCTGTCTGTCTGTCTGTCTGTCTGTCTGTCTGTCTGCCTGTCTGCCTGTCTGTCTGTCTGTCTGTCTGTCGGCCTGTCTCTCTCTCTCTCTCTCTCTCTCTCTCTCTCTCTCTCTCTCTCTCTCTCTATCTATCTATCTATCTATCTCTGTACGTGTGTGTGTGTATCTTTTTTAAGAAAGGGAGAATGAGAGTGAGAGAGCAGGGGCGGCTCGTTGGGCTAAAAAGTGGACGTGCAGAATTAAGCTATCGCATGCTGAAGATAGTCAAGGGCATAGTAATTGAGACGGTGTATGATTTTAGGATCTTTGGGTTTTGATGAGGGAGGACCTCGTGCTTTTATTTTCATTCTTTTTACTTGTCACTTTAATTTCTAAAACTAAATTTGTTCGTTAGCTAAACATAAATCTTGTTCATCCTGTATTGGAACTGAACACTCAAGTAATAAATTTCACTACTCCGCTACAAAACCATTCAAAGACACAACCCATAGGACGGTCACGTTCTCCTCCTTCAGGTTCATGGTCACAGAGTCACTTAAAATAGTGGCAAGACAGACAATGAACCAATCATAATTCACTTGAGCACTCCGCAGACTGCTCCAGGGCTCACATAATATTGGCAAAGAATAGCGTACGGTCTATTGAGTTTATTTTTAGACCGACTACTGTTGGCTATGTTTAGGCACTATTTGGCAGGATCACATTTGAGATGTGCCGTCTTATTAATATTATTAATGTATCGCCAAACTCGCTACGAGTGTCGTCATCGCTTGGGTTATCCCCAAGAGCGATTTATAGATCAGGTTACAGCGTTGAATATCCTACTATGTTTAGCTGAAGCGCGTGGACTTTGGCGTGGCATAGTAGATGTTTTACGTCGCTACAGACACAGAAATGACAGTTATGGCGCCAGTGAAGACCTTGTCTTGATATGATATTTGGCTAGCGTTTGTTTCTGGCTTCTTTTTTTTATCATTGTGGGTGTTTTACGAAATAGAATATTAGAAAAATTTGGGCGGCACTGCACGACCGTGCTCTATGGACGAACCGCGCCTGTGAGAGATAATGAGACATCAAGAGACACAGGGAGAGAGAAAGAGCGAGAGAGAGAGAGAGAGAGAGAGAGAGAGAGAGAGAGAGAGAGAGAGAGTGGGGGGAGATGGAGGGGTGGGGGGGGGTTGTAATAACAAAGAGAAATAAACAGAAATACAAACAATGAACAACACGCACTCTTACTCTTAGTGCGAACTTCATAACGCCTATGTCAGACGCACCTCAAACACGAGATCTGCGCAAAGATCATCCAATGAACAGGCAACGTTTTTTCGCGCAGACGACATACACTGGCGGCACGCCAAAATATTCCGAGCTGTCGCCAGCGTAATGACATCATGACGTCACTTCCGCGTGGGGTTTATTCCGTCCTGGTGACGTAATTGACACCGGAAGTACATCACGGGACAGCAGATCCTGCGGTGGGGCTGTATGTACCCCATACAGAGATGTGGATATCTTTTACAACCTGAGTACAAAGGCGGTGAGACTAGGTCAAACTTTACACTGGACGCCGCCGTAGGTAGCTGGGGAAGGTTTTTTGTTTGTTCATTTTTTTATTTTTTTCTTGAG